AATTCCTCCTGATCACAGAGTTAAGCCTCCAGCTTTGCTGACCTCTTTAAAGGACTCATTTGACAGCAAAACAATTTTGTCAGTTTGGGCCCAACTGTTTGAGCAGAACAGTCTCCTATCCAGGAAAGGTTACTTATGGTTCTGCTAGAATGTGATATTTATCAGTAAATGTCAATTTTATCATAATCGTTCTCCAACTAAATGTGGATTGGTAGATGGACTTGTGGGGAGAGCTCTCAAAATGAATTGCGTGCAGCAACAAAGTAATTTATGCTGCACAAACAACACACCGCTCCTTCCAATAGAGCAGAATTAATAATAACAAAAGAAAACTTGGGCTAAACTGCTACACTGTTTGACATGAATAAGCCAAGATTTTACATTTTACTTGCATAGAGTAAATCCACACTTATGTAGTTAAGCCATGGTTGTTTTACTGAATACCAGCCTTTTGCCGAATACCAATGTTGTGCATTGAATTTATGTGTGCAAATGTTTTAGTTAGGGTGACGAGGAGGAGGAGGGCACCTTTTGGGCTTCCCAGTAGTACCTGGGTAAGGCTCATACTGGGAAACAGGATGCTATCCCAGTCAGAGAGGAATGCATTGAATCTGCAAGCATGCTCTGCATGTTCTCCATCATGCTAGGAATCTGTATACTGCTGTTACCCAAAGAATAGGTTGTCGGAGACTTGGGGGTCCTCACCAACTGTCAGTGTTACTTCAAATGTTGGGGAAATTAGCTTTGCAAGAGACTTGGGTAACCTTTGGACCATTTGGACCAGTATATACCAGTACTAACTGAGGAGGACTCCAGGTTTGGAGTGTATTAAGAAGATTTTATTTAGAAAAATGCAGAGTGCAATTACACACAATAGATAGCAATCCAAACCGATGCAGCATACAGAGCTAACAGAAATGGAAATATGGAAAGGGGATAGCAGAGCTTTTAAGGACTTGCAGTGGAGTAATAATTACCTGCCCAAAAAGAAGACCGTGGAAAACTGGAATGGCTCAGATTGGGAAGTCTGAGGGTGACACAGAACATACACAGAGTGCAAGGCTGTATGCCGGCTATGTGCACAGAAGTTGGGTTTTGAAATCATATTTATACCTTAAAACTAGCCCCAAGTAATGGGCTATTTGGCCAGATAACAAAGGCCGAATGTCTTGTCCCAATGGACAGGTTGATGGCATTACCGTAATTTTAATGTGACAAAAACAGTGATTGGATCAGGATATCCCTGAGATGGATGGATGGGGAAGTTCGGCTGGGGACAAAAAAGAGGGTAGGCAGAGAAAAATTGGCTTACTGCTTTGGGTACAAAGTGATCCTTTGTCTCAGGTTTCAAGAATAAATAGAGGTTGCTTGGGGAAAGGAAAGAGCACTTTAGACTTGATGGTTTTGTTTACCTAAATGTACACATGCCTTGGGGAAAACAATCCTAATAAAGGATAGCTTAGCAAAGCTGGGACTTATCATCTTGAGAGAGGAACAGGAGATGGAGGATGGAAGAGAGGGAGAAGTCTTTTTATGTGTTCACAGATGCCCTGGAAGGTTCTCTGGTCAGAAAGTCTGGTTGCTTAAATGCATGGACGCATTGACAACCATGCATCACAGCCAGGGATTGAGAGAGACAGTATGTGGGGAGTAGAGGTGTGCAGGAATGGCCTATGGTACCTGAAACCCTATTGCCAATGGATGAAGGGTGTAAATCCAAAGTGGTTTGAGGACTGAGGATATAGCTCTGGAGACCAGGGTTCCCATTGGGTGACCTTGGGCAAAACTCAGAGGAAGGCAATGCCAACCCCCCCCCCCCAACTGAAGAAATATACCCAAAAAAAAATCTCATGATAGGTTTGCCTTAGGTTTGCCTTAGGTTGGAAATTACTTGAAGGCACACAACTTGAAACAATGAAGGGTGTATAAAGAGAGGGTGCTGCAACACTGCAGAATTAATGCAGTTTGACACCACTTTAACTGTCATGGCTCTATGCTATGGAACCCTGGGATCTGTATTTTGCTGCAATACTAGAGCTCTCTGACAGAGAAGACTAAGGGCCTCTGCAGACTGGCCCAAAGGGCCGGCTTGGAGGCAGAGTTGGGGTGGAGCAGCACACGCCGGCCGCCCCAACCCCACACCGATGCCGTCCTGATGCTGTTACGCATGGCGCGTGGTATCCAGACGCCCTTCTGGTGCAGCGTTCAAACATGCTGCGCAAAAAAAGGCACTGAAGAGCTGCATGTTGGCTTTTAGGGTGGCCTTTTGCAGCCCCTAAAAGGAGTGGCCTTTTGCTGCTCTTTTTGGGGCGGCAAAAGGGAGGATCGGGGCTGCGTCATGGGGTTGCTGTGGCCCCGGTCCACTACTTCCCAGGCTGGCCCAGAGCTGCCCATCTGCACTCCCCCTAAATTTCTCACAAACCTTGCAAATCCTAGAATTCCATAGCATTGAGCCATGACACTTAAAGTGATATCAGACAGCATTAATTCTGCTGTGTAGATGCAGCCTGAATGGCTAGAATTCTGTTGGTTTGTCGCAGCTAAAGTAGACCCATTGAATCAACTGTGAGATGGTGGATCAACATATGTGCAAATCTATCTGACTCAAAAGCTCTGCTTTAGCCAGCTCTAGGAAAGGGATATCACCCAATATTTATTTTGTTTAAAACTGGACTCCTTATACTGACAACAAACTTCACGTATTATAAATTATGTTTTTAATATCTTACAGTGAATTCTATGTAAATTTTAGAAATGAATGGCTGACATCCTATTAGTGATTTGTGTAAATTCAATGGTGGCCATTTTCTTAAGCTGGAAAACTCCTGGCTTCGAAAAGAGGCGCACTGAGAGCCCCTGGGAGCGGAGATGGGCCCAGGTGGCGATTTTGGCAGCTGAATCCTTCTGATAATATCAGGATGCCACCTGCTTTAAATTTTAAACTGGACCAGGTAAGTCGTATTATTTAAGAGTGTGATAAGCTTCATAATCCAACACTCAAACCATTACATCACACTGGCTCTCTAACAAAATAGTTACAGAGGAGTAACTTGAGGGAATTGTTGTGCATCCACAATCACTGCTTAGGCATAATTGTGGCACTATTGCCATGATTGTAATGTCCTTCCCAACTTTTCCAGGCATCATCTGTCTGCAGGGAAGGAGGTCCATTCTGCCAGCAGTCGGAGTGTGGCTGAATGATATTTTCAACTGCTTAGGGCAGGCGTGGGCCAGGAGAAGTTACTTAGGGGCTATACCAGGGGTCGGCAACCTTTTTGGGGTTGGGGCCGGTCCCCCTGTCCCCCAATGCTCCCTGGGGCGCAGTGGTGCGTGCACATGCATGCATGTGCACTACCACCACTGTGGTGCACATGCGTACGTGAACGCTGGGCGCCATTTTGGATGGTGCCCCACGCTCGTGCATGCATGCACACGGAGGCGGGCGCCATTTGGCCTTTCAAAATGGCGCCCGCCATGGTGCGCTTGCATACACGAGCACAGGCACCATTTTGGAAAGCAAAATGGCACCTTGCGTCGCACACGGTGTGGCGGCAGCAGGACTGGCCACGGGCCGGTTCCAAGGCCTTGGCAGGCTGGGTCCGGCCCGTGGGCCATAGGTTGCCAATCCCTGGGCTATACAGACCGGCCAAAAGGCACACCAGCCTCTCTAACTCTGCCCCGATGAACTTGAGTTTAATCACTATTCAGTGTTTTAAACTTTAAAAAGCACGCACTGTTGTTATTGTTTGTGCTACTGTTGTCACCACCATGTGCCTTCAAGTCATTTCCAACCTATTGCAATCCTAAGGGAAAGCTATCAATGGGTATTCTTGGCAAGATTTAACCAAACGAGGCTTGCCATGGCCTTCCTCTGAGGCTGAGAGTCTGTGACTTGCCCAAAGCCACCCACTAGACTTCTGTGGCTGAGCAGGGATTTGAACCTTGGTCTCCAGAGTTGTAGTCCAATGCTCAAACCACTATGCCATGCTGGGTCAAAAACACTCATAGTTGGGAACATTGCTGTAGCAGTTGTGTGTGTGTATTTGTGTCTGTGTGTCTATGTGAGTGTGTGAGAGAGAAAATATTGTTTTTAAACATTGCAAGAATTTTTTCTGAGCATCCTTTGATCCAACAAGACAACTGCTTTTGCTGGCCAGGATCCTGTTGGCATCTTATGTATGCGTAAGAAGGCCTAAGTACTTTAAGGGCACCAGACCCTGTCTGATCTTGGACACTAAGCAGGGTCAGCCCTGGTTAGGACTTTGATGGGAAGCCACCAATGAATACCAGGCACTGTAGGCTGCATTTCAGAGGAAGGAGCTGGCAAATCCATCTCTTAGGATTCCTTGCCTAAGAAAACCCTATGAGATCCATGGGGTCACCATAAGTCCACAAACGACTTGAAGGCATAAATGCACATACATGCACACAAGGCACCAGATCCCATCTGCCCTTGAAAGTTAAGCAGGGTCAGTCCTGGTAAGGACTTGGATGGGAGACTGCCATTCAAGACCAGGTGCTGCAGGCTGTATTTCAGAGGAAGGAATTGCAAAACCATCTTTGAGGATTCCTTGCTGAGGAAAATCCTGTGAAATTCATGGGGTTGCCATAAGTTGACAGGAAAGTTGAAGAAACAAACACAAACACACACACAAGTTTGTCCTACTGAAGTGGATTGGTTGTGGAGGATGAATTGTACCTGAGTGCTATTGCATGTTGTGAATTGTGTGTGCAGATGTGCATTTAATGTTGGACTTTGTGCACAGGCATTTGGTTTTGCATTCAGTTGTGCAACATCACACATTTAGGGGCTTTGCAGATGGCGCAAAATGCCATCCTCGAGCCAAGGAAGGGGAGGGGCAGCCGGATGCCGGGCTCCCCAACCCCTTCCTGAGGACGTCATCGGAGCCCCCGCCGTTGCACACGGTGAACGCTCCAATGACATCCTTCTGTCGCAGCGTCCGGACACACTGCGATGGAAGAGACGTGAAAGAGGTGCGTGCCACCTCTTCCGGCGCCCTTTCCGTGGCTTGAGGAAGGAGTGCTATTTTAGCACTCCTTCCAGGGCTGCCCAAAGAGTGGATTGGGGCTGAGGAGTGGGGCAGCCTTGGCCCCAATCCTTGGCTTCTTGGGGTGGCCCACAGCCGTCTGTCTGTAAAGGCAGTTAGTTGCGCAACATCAAGGTTTTAGGGGTCAATAATCATGTCATTACAAGAGCAGGAGCTAAGCCATTACAAGACCCATTACAAGACCCTCAAAGACTATGGAACGGCTTGCCTCATGAGATCCGTCAGATTACAGCCGTAAGCAGCTTTAAAAAAGCTGTCAAGACGGATCTCTTCCAGAAGGCCTTTCCTGACTAGATTCCCAGTCTCAGGAGTGAGTCCATCTCCTCCTCTCCAACTCTGCTTCAGTCGCTGCTATTATTTGCTGTTATTGTTTGTCGTTATTGTCTGTTATTATTATTGTTGCTCCGGTGAGTTTTATTTTAAATATGTTTTAATGTATATTTGTTTAATATTTTTTTAAGGGGTGGGCGGGTCTTGGGATTTTGCCTATGTTTATATTGCACTGTATTTTATCTGTATGGATTTTAATGTTGTAAGCCGCCCCGATTGCTTTGCGGAGGGGCGGGGTATAAATTATTATTATTATTATTATTATTATTATTATTATTATTATTAAAAGGCCGAGGGAATTGCAACGCTCCACCTTCTATATCCGGTGGCAATTCTAGAAATGTGACCTCTTGCTAATATTAAACTCATTTGCAGATTTCACCTTGCTGTCTCTGCTATCTCTAGTATTGGGTTTTCGTCATCATCTTTTTATTAACTTCTGAGCCCAGCACATTTATATTGCATTATCCTCATCAGTTGAAGTAGTAATTTCCTCTGAAAAATGTCATGTTTGCCCTGGAAAAAATATGTATTAACCTTGGCTTTCTATTGTTTTGTATATCTTCATCAATTTACTTGCTTGCACAGTCTGTCTCTCCCCCCACCACCACCCAAAAATGCACCTCCAAACCAAAAAGAAAAGAAAAACAGTCTCAAGCTGGAGACTTTAAATGTTTTGGAGGACTGCAGTAGCAAAGGGACTCATTTTCATTCCTCAGGGAAGCAGTGAGCAATTTTTTATCAATTTGCTTTCGACTGTGAAAATGTCTTCCAAAAGGGCAGTTTTGGGGGATGAACTGAAGGTTGGGATATCATTCATTCATTCATTCCTTTATATCCTGCCTTTCTTCTAATATAGGCTCAAGGCAGCAGAGGGATATCCTGTGCAAAAATTTGTATATGGTATTTTGCCACAGTAAGCAGCATGCTCTATGCCAAAAAATAATAATATTTCTATGCAGAAAAAAGTATTTGTTGTGAAGAATTTTGTGCAAAAAATGTCCTAGACAGCAAAGATTCTCATCAGTCTAGGATTCTCCTCATCAGGGTTTCCTGGTACTTAAGAAAGAGATTTTTCACCATTTTTAGAATATATTTTTAATACTCTTTCCTTCTCTAACCAATGGCAGCTGGAGGAATCCCATGTAAATAGGGTGATGGTTTCTAGCTTGCATGGACGCTGTAGAAATCATACAGTTTGACACTATTTTAAATGTAGCTCTATCTTATGGACTCCTGAGATTTGCAGTTTATAACAAGATCTTTAGGTTTCTGTGCCAAAGAGTGCTGGTGCCCCACAAACCTACAAATCCCAGGATTCTATAGGATGGAGCCATGGCAGTTAAAGTGGTGTCCAAATGCATTATTTCTATATTTCAGATGGACCCCTAGTCTAGACTGAAACGGGCAACTGCATGGGAACCAGAAACCAGTCACCCCCCAGACCCTCCCTGGGTTTCATCCCCTGCCTAGCCCAAATATCTTCACTTTCCTCTCAAGACCTCCTTAAAATGGTGACAGGTGAAAATGTACCTCCTCCTGGGGGGCCATTTTGAGAAGAAAAGAGAGGGGTATGGGGTTCGTGGATGCTTGTGGGGGGAGGGCTAGGAGGTTGCATGCTTCCAAGGGTTTTTTGGGGGGAGGGCTTTCTGAGTGATTTGGGAAGCAAAACATTTCCCCAATATCACACCATTTTGTTAAGGTATAGGAGTTTTTCACACAGCAAAAAAAAAGTGACTTACCTTGCCCAGTTTGACTCCTCTTCCGGGATGCAGCCAGGTATTATCACACCCAAATTGCCTCTGATTCTGCCAGTCGAGTGCATCCCGGCTGCATCCTGGATCCCAGGTGCCGCTTTTCAGTTGGAAAGCCCCCGGCTTGGAAAAGTGGCTGCCAAAGCGCACCTGGGACCCAGGATGCACTCAGCCAACAGAACTGGCAACAACTTTGGTGTGATAATACCTGGCTGCATCCAAGAAAAGGATTCAAACCGGGCAAAGTAAATTGCCTTTTTTTTTTTAGCTGTGCGAAAACCTCCATATTCTTTGCAGTGTTGGTAGCCTTTGGACTACCAGTAGGGTGATCCTGAACTCACAAGTTCTGGGGCCACACTTTACCTACCCCAGGTCTAGATTTTAAAGGATAGCTTCAGCACTTTTAAAGCTCATACTAAAACCCAGAGTATTTTTTGCTGCTCCTTCACATAGGAGTCGCCAACCATCACTGGTTCAAATTAGATCTGGACTTTTACAGCGAGAGAGGGAAAGGAGCTTTCGTTTCATAGTTCATTGTGCATTGTGGCTAAGCGCAAGCAGTAATCCCATCCCTTTTTTTAGAAAAGAAAAAGAAGTCCCAATTAATGTCACAAAATGGTGAGCAACAATAGCCGGAAGAGGCTTGTGGGGAAGATGAATGGATTATACTGATGAAGAGAGTAGCAGCACCCTGCGCAACAGAAAAAGAGTACAAAGCCTGCATAGTTTCGCCAAGGAGAAGCCTTCTTAGTTTCTTGCTGTTCCTTCACAAAATGGTGGAGTATCAAAATCCCCCAGCCTTGCTTTTTATCCAATCGCAGAAGACGCCTCTCATGACCCCAAGAGAGTGCCAAGGTGTGTGTATGTGTCTGTATGTGTATATATATATGTGTGTGTATATATATATATATATATATATATATATATATATATATATTGTCACCTGAATCATGTTATCCAGGCTTCCTTTTTCCCTCTTCTGATCTCCTTCCATCAGATCAAAAGCCTCTTTGCTTTGAAGTCATATAATATAGCAAATTGAATTGTCGCCATTATAAGTCCCAGGTTGTTTTTGAAGCGGCAAAAAAAGTTTACAGAACAGGGGTGGGGGAGAAACTACTTAGCTCTTTTTTTAGGAAGGAGACAAAGATGGCATGGAGAGTAATGAGGATCTTGTGAGGATCCTGTTATTTGAATTATGCATGTCTAAGTACTGTTTATACGTACATAATTCACTAACAAGATACCAGTAGGATCCTAATTATTCTCCATCCCATTTCTTTTGCCACTGTTCATGAAAGCCAGAGTGGCATAGTGCTTTCGGCATTGGATTATGATTCTGGAGACCAGGGTTTGAATCCCTCGTCAACCCTGGAAATCCACAGTCTCTCAACCTCAGAGGAAGTTGCTGGTAAGTCACACTCTCTCAGCTTCAGAGAAAGACACTGGCAAATATCCTCTGAACAAACCTTCCCCCCCAAAACTCATGATAGGTGCACCTTAGGGTTGTTATAAGTTGGAAATGACTTGAGGGCATGCACACACACATACAATAATACTATTGGTGTAAGTGGTTATACTCTTTGGCAATGGCCTAATGCCTATAATCAGTTGAAGTTGTGGAAGCACAATGGAGCATGCAGTAATACTGTGCATGTGGGGCCATTTCACAATGCAAATGCAGATGCACATTGCACTTGACAGATGAGGACATGCATTGTGCTTTGTGACTGTTAATTTCACGTTTGTACATTCTTGCCTGTTGTGACAATTCACTACTGCACAATTGTCATGTAACTGTTAAAGGTACACTCCATCCCCTTGATGTAGGATCATGGCCA